AAAATGAGAAGGGAGGTTTTGATTTCATATCTTCATTTTCATGACAAATCTAGTGCGCTTACAGAAAGAGCAAACAGATCATACCTAGACAAGAGGGCAGACTGTCTTAATTTCTGCTTTTATTGTGATTACAGTTTTGCAGGGTTTGGATGAAGCGGGCATTGATCAGGATGGTGTCTTCAAAGAGTTCTTGGAGCTCACCCTGAAACAAATCTTCAATCCCGATCTTAATCTCTTCAAGGTCAGTCTTTCTGTTCATTTTTATTTGCTAGCACATATTTTTGATGTTTTAAGCAAACAGCGGACAAAATTTCAGTGTTCCGCAAATCGACAACTATTTCCATCGCCAACATCTGATCTACATGAAAATCATTTGGCACTATTTCAGTTTGTTGGCCGTATGTTGGCTAAAGCTGTTTATGAGGTAGGCCTACACAAAATTTTTCGGTATCATCGGTACGTCCTACAGCACAGTCGATTACACAAATGCTACTAAAATCTCCTTTGTTCATTTGGTGGCTTTCGAAGAATTGACTAGGACGAGGATTGCGTCCAAAAATCTTGAGATAGACAGTTTAGAGCAGAGAATCCTACGCTGTTTTTGGCGTTTTTGAACTCATTTCATCTAGGCCCGACGAGTAGATGACATTCATTTGAATGATCGGCGCAGCACTGATGTAGTTTACAAGAATTTGAACGCCGGTATTTGGGCTGTTTTGAAGTTTAAGGGACTTGCATCGTTCCAAAAAAAAAGCAGTGATTCGTCGGGCTGCTGGGCGAGACACCCATGGAAGGTAGTAATAGAATGACGTAAAATATATGAACATTTTAAATGATCTTTTTATTTTTCAAGCAAAATATGAGTTCTTTTTTTGCTCAGCGCAATGTGCTGGCCTGTTTTTGAATTAGCACCAACTTTAGGGAATTGTGGCCGAGGTGCACTTGGCACCTGTGCTATTGGCAACTGCACTGGGCCGCAAATTGTGCGCCTTCGATGAGCTTTCGCAACTAGATCCCGAACTTTACAAAAGCCTCGCTTACGTGAAGCATTATTCGGATTCGGAAGATGTTGCTGATTTGTCACTGACGTTCTCCGTTGATGAAGATGTACTCGGACGTGTGCACACTGTTGATTTGGTTCCTGGCGGACGTGCGATACAAGTTACAAATGAAAATAAGTGAGTACTTAGAGAGAGAGGAGATGCCCACTATGTAAAACATTCTTTTTATTGGACCATCTTTTTCGGGCACCTTTTTTTCGGAAAAAGATAATCATTTCACTCCGATTCATATTTGTGTTTTAGTTTGCTGGCTTCTTTGTTTTCTTTAACTTTTGAGCCGTTTTGAATGAAGAAAAAAGTAAAAATGTTCTTTTTTTGATCAAATTGATCTTGGTTTTTAATGTGTTTTTGCTTCACTGATGTCCTCGGGAGTTTACACACTGTTGTTTTGGTTCCTAGCGGAAAGCCTCTCCACAGTTATGAGTTCATGCTTATCGAAAGATTTTTCATTTGTTTATGTGTGTTTGGGTTTCGTCGCTCACTCCCATCTCAACAATGGTGCAAGCTGTGAAGCTGAAACTTTGCTAGGATATTTCCGGCTATTGTTGATCAAACAAAGCTTTAACCGGCTTTGTGCGCAATTGTAGCTTGTAAGACGATTTCGATTTCAATTATAGCTGTAGTTTTTAGAATTGCCTACGTTCACAAAATGGCGCAGTACCGTGTGTTCAATCAAACAAAGGAACAGTGTCGTGCTTTTGTGGTTGGATTTCTCTCCGTTCTGAATGGCAATTGGATTTCGTTATTTGCTCCCCATGAACTTCAATATCTAATTTCTGGACAGTCTACGTAAGATTAATAATTTTTGTTAACAATCTGCGTATGATTAACAACTGTTATTCACAAAAGTAACAGAGGGATAGTTTGTATTTGTTGTTTCTTTTACCAGCGGTATACTTCATTGTCTTATTTTTGCTTAAAATCAAGTTTTTAAATCATTTCATTGCAGTGATATTGATTTACATGATCTTCGTAAGCACGTGCAATATTATGGGGGCTTTCATAACAATCATCGAGTGATCAAATGGCTCTGGCAGATACTCGAATGCGATTTCACAGCTGAGGAGCGCCATCTTTTCTTGAAAGTATTTTTTAACTCATTTTAGTTTTTGATTTCTATGCGTTCTGTACCATAAGAATTGCACAAAATACATTTTGTCGAGACCTTATTTGTGTGTATATTCCACGGGAAAGCTAAGAAGCTGAAATTTTAAAGAGTGTCCTTTTCACGCGCTTGATCTCGCAGGTTTAAATTCAGTTCCCGCCTATGTCTAAGTCTTACGTACGAACACGTGAAAGTTTTGACATGAAAATTATTGATTCGAGGACCGGAAAAACTGGGAAGCCAAGGTTTTAGGAGAATGTTTGCTACTCACGTACGACTGTTCAGACGTAAGCCCAGCCTTCACTTGCGCCAGCTTCTCACGTGAAAATTTTGGCGCAGAAATTACTAACTTGGAGGGCGCAGCTGAAATTTTACGAGGGTGTTCAATGCGTATTTGCAACCCAGAGCTTTCAGACGCAGTTTTCACGTGCATCTAGGTCTCATACGAGCACATAAGATTTTGGCGGGAAAATTACCAGTCGGGGACCGGAAAAATTGGAAAGCTGAAGTTCAAGAAAAATGTTACGTGTCCATGCGCGGCATCGAAAATTTTGGGTTCAGATCTCACGTTTGCCTATATTTCATGTACGAATACGTCCTTTGATAACAAGCTTCCAAACTCCAAAACGAGGAGAGGCAGGAAGCCGAAATTTCAAGAAAATGTTGTTCATGTGTAACTCCGGAAATTTTTAATTCGCTTTTACGTACGCTTGGATCTTACGTATAGAAAAATATAATTTTTGGCCGGACAAAACATTCTGACGACTTTGCGCATGCCGAGCAGCAAAACATTGGGTATTTTTAATAGCAAACCTCCGCTAAGCAGAAGTCTACAGAACGCACGATCGCATCAGCTACCCTGGTGCGCACTGTTTTTTATGCGTTTTTGCAGCTATGCAACGCATATTGACGAGAGGTTGTCTGTGTGTCCGTGTGTCTTTATGTCTGTGTGTGCGTCTGTCCCGATTTTTCATCTCAAGATCTATAAAAGTTGTAGGGCCGGAACTTTGGGAACTTAATCTACATGCACGTACAGGCCCAATCGTCAAAATGGGCGCCATTGCCTGCGTGGTACCCACGTAAGAGCCCGCCAAAGTTTTTTACGGGTAAGTTCATAACTCGGGAACCTGAGAAACTAGTGAGCTGAAATTTTAGGGGGATGTTCCCCGTCCAAGTAGGTGTTAATGCACTCAAACCCAACCCCTGAGTAAGCGTAGTACCCGCGTATGAGCCCGCCAAAATTTTTTCCGGGTAAGTTCATATCTGGGAAGCTAAAATGCTGAAATCTTAGGATAATGTTCCCCTTCCAAGTAGGTATTAATGAGCTCAAAACCATCCCCCGGGTGTGCGTGATA